CACAATAAGTTTTTCATTAAAAACGGCCTCAAGCTCAATAAAAATTGTTGAATATAATTGTTATAAGGCCATAAAATAACAAAAACAAATAACTTAAGGCTTCGAAAAAATTTAAAAGGTTAGTCACCTCAGTTAAGAAAGGTACTCATAGATCAACATATAAATTATGACTTTCAATCAATTCACTTCTCTAGCTGATATATTTCATTATAAATGGCTACTCAATCAAGAAGAATTAAAAGGTGTTACCTCCTATCGTCCATAATCATATTATCTTTCATATCATGAAGCACCGAAATTAAAGCCTTACTGGGGCTAACGTTTGCAAAGCACATCCAAATCCTTTTCGGTGATTGGCTTTAGAATAAACGAATTTAATAATAACTAAGTTTTGCGGTGGACAACATATTTAGCGGGCTTTTGTTTCAAAGAAAAAGTTGGTTGGTTGTTTTTAAAATATGGCGATGTATGAATTTCCATTTTCGTTGTTGCTCAGATCGAAGACAATTTAATTTTGTAAATAATTTTTTCAAAATAAATAAATGATTATTGATGACTAGGTATGGCAGCACGAAATGTCAAAATCTGCTTAATTGTCAGGTAGTTAATATGGCGTCCGAAAAGTGACAATGAAACTACCTTCTTTTTTGTATCATGCAGTATGATAGGAATCTCTGCTCAAGGCATATCTGCCAGACAACATGTAGTCTATATTTTTTTTTTTAATTTAAGAATTTCAATATATGTAGCTATAATTAATCGATTTAAGAAACCATCTACTTTTTTCTCATGAATCAATAATAAAAGGTTTGCTCAAAAAACAGTTTTCTCGCTCCCTCTTGACAAAATCGGCTCCCTTAGCAAGGGATTGTGTGTGGGTTCGTGTGTGTGTACAAAGCTTTTGTAAGGGAGCTAAGGGAGTGTCAAAACTCTAATGTCACTAATCGACAAACTTTTAGTTATTGAATCATGCTTTTTTCTTATTTCATTTGAGCTCAAAATATTGTACAAGCATACAATTTTGTTCTTTTTTCACTCTTCCGTTGCTGTTTTCCATTTTTCCTATTACTTACAAAGTTTTTTCTATATAGTTGAGTAGCAGCGTTGCCGAAATCTTTCACTGAAAAATCCTCAATTTGCCCAAAAAATTGTCATTTCAGCAAAAAAAAAAACGCCAAATACTTTTTATTGGCCGCATTTCTTTATTCATTCTGAACGTTTGGAATAAACTTTTTTGATTACTTATTCTTTAGAACGTTCCTGATGATATGTTAACGTTTATTCTGGCTGTGAAATGGGATTATCTGGAATGTATAAAGAAACGCAGCCATTATATTTTTTTAGCCGACTTCAAAAAAAGGAGGAGGTTATCAATTCGTCGGAGTATTTTTTTATGTATGTTACCGCATAACTTTAGACCACGTTAACCGATTTTTATAATTTTTAAAGGAAAGGTGGTACCTCAGTAAAAAAAACGTAATTTTGGGAGAAAAATCGTCAACACGTCATTGGGCTAAAATAACGTCAAAATGACGACGAAATCGTCAATTCGGCAATGCTGTTGAGTAGTTTAAACGAACAAAAATAGAAAAATTAACTATGATTTGTTGATAATTTTTTTTAGCAGCAAGTTTTTCTCGTCCAATTTTTAACTTATTAAAGCGAAAAATAGATGTCAAAACAGTTCACTCACTTTATCCGGTTCATTTTGTTCATCGCTAAAATCTGCCAAAAAATTAATCAAAAATTAAGATTTTTAGAGATGCCTTTTTAAGATAGAATCGCAAAAATCGCTAAAAATTGCTAAAGTCCATTTGGCTATGGAGTTTTAGTGATAGCGAAAGTTGGAATCCGGCTCCAGCTGCTCAAACACGCTAAAGTTTTATCCGAATTTGTGGCGATCTCCAAAAATTAGTGATTTCGGTGCGCATCCCTGGCCAGAAGTATTGCGATTCGTGCGATTGTATTCTCCGCAATGACCTGCGGTGCTTTCATCATGGTAAGTTTTCAAAATTTGTGCGCGTTCATGGTGGGGAACTACCAATTGTGCGTCTTCAGCGCCATCGTTAGCTCAGCAATAGAGTACACCGTCATTCAAGAGTTATCCATGATTATACCATAAGGTGACATTACTCTCTTCAGATATTCGTCTTTAAGTTGTCCATTTCTAAACTCGCTTGGCTTTTGCGTGGTAAGTCAAAATGGAAAGTACAATTACAGTTCGGAGTGCTATTGATAGTTTCAGCACATGGTGGTCGTGAAAGCATATCAGCTACCGAGTTACTCTTACCAGGCGCATAGTCAATTTTAAAGTTAGATATGCTGTTGAATTTGAAGCGCCCACCTTGCCCGACGACCAGATGGTGTTTTCTAGAGTCCGACCGATTAATCAGCATCGGCATCGGCTAGTATCGGTACAAAATTGAGCATCGGCATCGGCCTTTTTTCGCCGATTATGTGGAATTTATTTTTATATGTTCAGGTGAAGCGACAGACAACAGCCAAAATCCAAAAAACTTTTCTCAGCAGCTCACAAAAATTATTATTTTTGGTTGAAGGTGTTTCACGTTTTTTCCATACAAAAATATGTTCGACAATTTTCTTTTATATGGAGGACACTGGCGCCAACAAAAAAAATTGCAAAAATTAACGGGATTTTATAACAGCTTGAAACTTGCCTTCATAATACTAGGATTAAATGGTCTACAAAACTGCATACCAAAATTCTGATTAAAAGTCTGAAATTTTGGTGAAAATAAGCAGAATTTTTCTAATTTTTGTATGGAGTTTGAAATCTGAATTTATATGGTATTTGTTGTATACAAGCTAGACTTTTATAAAAAAAATAATAATAAACATTAAAAACACAAGAGACTAATGCCAAAGGCCAAAACCGGTGGAAATACATACATATGTACCTAGCATATAAGTTCTTATGCATTGCAAAAGGGTGTATTTTAGTACAAAACGAAATGAAATTTTATGTTCCTAAATATTTCTTGCCATATAAAAAGTGGATTATGTAATGTACATAAATGTGATATATGTACATATATTTTTACACATACATACAAATGTATTGCATAACAAGCCAATTAATTCAATTATTTTTTGCTTTTGTTTTGTTAACTCCGTTAAATTAACTGATTTTATGAATTAATACATGTATTTGTAATTGTTTAAGGAATCGGCATCGGCATCGGTCGATTCTTTCCCCATAAGCCGATTAATCGGCATCGGCATCGGTACCTGAAAAAAATTGCAATAGGTCGGACTCTAGTGATTTCATTGTTAGCAACCTTTTAAGCGGTTGGTGATCCGTCATAAGATGCACTTCAGCGCCTTCGATGTACCCCCTAAACTTGAAGAATGCCTAATGTGACCAACCGTACTTCTTTCGGAAGTAGGTAAAGGACTTTTTTTTGAGCCGTTGTACTTCGCAGTGCAGTCAAATGTACATACTTGTTTGCAATATTTTGTAATACCTAAGGCACATCAGTAGTATCAG